GGGTTGTGTCTGGTGGGGAAAAACCTCTTTAAGCCAAGAATGAGACAGGTACAAGAAGCCCTTGGGAGACCAATATGCCTGTGAATCTCAGATACAGACACACTGCTGTGCCTTAAGCCCAGGTGTTCCTAGCAATGAACGAAATATACCTTTTTAATATGCTCAGAGGCCCATAATTCTGAAGTAGTAGTAGTAGTAGTAGTAGTAGTAGTAGTAGTAGTAGTAGTGGAGGAGGAGTGGCTTTATACCCCGCCCTTCACTACCCGAAGGAGTCTCAGAGCAGCTTACAAACTCCTTTCCCTTCCCCTCCCCCCCCAACAGACACCCTGTGAGGTAGGTGGGGCTGAGAGAGCTCTTTTAAGAACTGCTCGTGAGAGAACAGCTCTGAGAGAACTTGTAACTGACCCAAGGTCACACCAGCAGCTGCATGTGAAGGAGTCCCAGGGTGAAGCTCAGGTGTTCAAAACTTATTCAAGTCCAGAGCTTCGTGTGAAATTCCTGGAGATCTGCGGGGTAGAGTCTGGAGCGGCAGGATTTGGGGAGGGACCTCAGCAGGATATAATACTATATAGTCCACCCTCCAAAGCAGCCATTTTCTCCAAGGGAAACTGATCTCTGTTGTCCGGAGATCATTCCGTGACATCTCCTGGCCTCACCTGGAGGTTGGCAACACTGGCTCCATGCCAAGGGATACAATACAGCAGAAGGCTCTGGAATCAAAACAACACAGCAGGGAGTTGAACAAGAGATTAGCAGGAAAGGATTCCGGCATTCTCAAGAACCCAAACTTTGTATATGCACCAAGAACAAAACACGTCCCGGTAGCAACGTGCCGGTGTGGGGACTGATTCCGGCAATCCGCTAAAGACTGAAAAAATGATCCTCCTTCAACACAGCAGCGCAAAGTCCTTGCAAATAAGGTCAACGGGACGTGAGGGCCTTGGCAGGAGCCAGCTTAGCTTCCTCTTTTAGGTCAGTTTCACGTTATGTAATCTCAGGCTTCGGCTGCTAGGAACCTAAATTAATTGCTCAATTGGTCAAAGTTGAATGCAGAATGGATGACTGTGGGAAGGAGATGGGAGATCAAGGTGGAAGAAATGACAACGGTTTAGCTGCGCCATTTTGCCAGCCTAGTTAAATCGTGATAAAAGGGCTCAGAACTTTATTGTTCAAATCTCTCCAGTAGTTTCCGCAGATGTTGCCAGTGTTTTGACTATGAATGGACAGCCCGCTGGTATTGGACCGAGGTGCCTGAAGAAGCATGCCAAGAAAGACTCTCCGATCTGCAGTTTCAGGAGCGTGGCCGTGTTGGTCTCCGGTAGAAGAGATCGATGCGATTCCGGTAGCAACTTAACAGCCCAACAAGATTTTCATTGTATAGATATTTGATAGTCAAAGCTCAATTTGATTCTTGAAAGACATTTGTCTGATGAAGAGAGCTAGTGTGGCGAAGAAGATGAAGAAGGAGGAGGAGGAGATTGGATTTATACCCCGCCCTTCACTACCCAAAGGTGTCTCAGAGTGGCTTACAAACTCCTTTCCCTCCCCCTCCCCACAACAGACACCCTGTGAGGTAGGTGTGGGGCCGGGAGAGCTCTGACAGAAACTGCCCTTTTCCAAGAACAGCTGTGCCCAGAACTACGGCTTGCCCCAAAATCATCCAGCAGCTGCGAGTGGAGGAGTGGGGGATCAAACCCGGTTCTCCCAGATTAGAGTCCACGCACTTAACCACGACACCAAACTGTGTGTACGAAAGCTTATACCCAGAATAAAACTGTTGGTCTTAAAGGTGCCACTGGACTCAGACTTTATTCTGCTGCTTCAGACCAACACAACTACCCACCAGAATCCGTCTTCATGGAAGGCATGGTGGAAGACTCTATTGGCCAGCATTCTCAGCCCAGCAGAGAATACAATTCCAAGTAAGCAGGCCTAGAAGCAGGCAGACAGAGGAACTGAACCACAGCACATAGTTCAAGCAAACAGAACACAGCCCGATTAAATGCCAGTCAGTATTCTGAACAGTTCTTCTCACTCCCTAGACTACGGGGCCTGTTCTTCGGCAGACTTCCTTTCCCGCTGCTGTCGATCAGAACAGGAATTTGACCTTGGGTAGCAGAAGGCACCGGAGGCACAGAAGAAAAGACTGCTATAGCGAGCAAAAGCATTTACCTCTGATGGGAGGAAACCTGTCGGGAGGGATGAGTTAAGGAGGGGAGGGGAGAAGTGAGTTGCATTGATTGCTGAGACGGAGCCGGTGCCCTGAAGGGCTCCAGGAACCTCGGCCCTCGAGCACTGTGGAAGCTGGCAAGAGGGAATTCGCTAGGTAGGAAGCCCAGCCAGGCCGTCTTTGCTCAGCGCTTAAGCCTCGGGCAATGACCAAGACTTGTTCCCTTTGGAGAAAGAGAAAGTACAGGCAGTGTAGGAGGGACAAGGTTTTAATATTCAGAACTACACGTTTCATTTTTTTTCCACTGCAACTAATGGCCAATTGGAGCTGCGATGGCTCAAGTGGTTAAGACGCTGAACTGCAGGCTGTGGAAGGTCGGCAGTTCAGCAGTTCGAGACCCGGGTGCCGCATGACGGAGTGAGCTCCCGTCTCTAGTTCCAGCTCCTGCCAACCTAGCAGTTCGAAAGCAAGAAATTGCAAGTAGATAAAT